CTGCTAGACTGGCCTTTGGGGGGGCGGGGCGGGGAGGAAAAGACAACTTAATAGCTATGACAGTATAACCTCCCAAACCATCAAGCAGAAATTCTATGAATAAATAACTAAGCCCAAGGCTTTAAGCTTAATCATCAAAATAATTCCATTTAAGAGAAAGACAATGATCAAAGGATTTGACTTTATAAACTAGGCACTCTGAACTGAAATAAAAATTTCAAGAATCAAAAATGTAAAAGAATTGTTCTCAATCAGTGGTTTGAATTCTTCTTTAGAAACTGTTATATAAATGGAAATCTTGATGTTAGCTGGGACTGGCATGGACCCTACTGACACAAAGGAAGTTGACTTAAGTAGCAGGTACATTTTAAGGCAGTCTCATTTTTAAAACACTGTCAAGCAGACATTTTAATAATAGTGCGCAGTATGCTGTAATAAACTTTTCTTTTGGTCATAAAAATATAATCAATATGATATAATAGAACTACCTCACTTTTTTTAAAAGTATGGCTAATAACAGTGTTAAGTCTTCACAATTGGATACAGGTGTAATTCACCTGTAAATACAATGATAATAGCTCAACATACTTACAATTTGAAATTAAACATCTACAGAATGTTGCTGCTTTGTTGAACCTTGAAACTGGCTCAATTAAAATTTTTAATCTAAACCATTATGGTAGCTTAGTGGTTAAAGAATTCTGCTGTCTTCCCCAAAATAGCCAATGCAAATCCACCAGCTGCTCTGCAGGAAATCAGAGGAGTAATCTCCTCCCATGTCATTTATAGCCTCTAAAGCAAGGAGCGGGAAGGAGGATCAGCTATGAGCACACATCCTAACATTAATGCTTTTGGCAAAATCATTTTGCTGAGTATTTTCCAAATAAAAATAGCCTATGTTACCACATTCTGTCAAACAAAATGCCACTGAAAGAGAAAAATGGATATACATAAATAACAATCTAAAACTAGATGAATTTCAGCATAAAGCCTTGGGAATATACTTAGCTACAAACAGTCCTCAAACACATGCGAACAACACAGCATTTTCTAAAGTCCCACTGCTTCAGGGGGAAAAAAGCATGAAAATCGAATTTTATACATTCTTTTCTCAATAGTTTTCAAAGTTTAAATATAAGTTAGGAGTTTTTTGGTCAATAATATATAGTAAAAATTTCACTCATTTTTTAATTACCTCTTGGCAATTTTTGATCGATTTCTTCAAAATGTTAACTTTACTAGGTCATTCTTTCTTTCTCTCTCATTTGAGTGTATATTTCTGATTACAGTTCAATAACTCCTCAAATTTAAAATCTTTTCAGTTAAAATGCTAAAACACTTAAGACTTCACTCATGAAGATTAAGGATAGTAATAGATTTTACAGGGGCTAAAAAGCTACTCTTTTTCTTATTGCTCAAGGGTCAGAACTGACCGAGAGCTGGCCCAGAGGCTGTATATTGTGAGGGAGGAGAAAGCTCATCCTTTTTTCGCAGAGCAGCTGGTGTATTCAAACTGCCTGCCTCTCTGGTTTGGTAATGCAACTCCTTACTTAATGGGTCACCAGAGCTCACAAAAAGCTACACACACACACACACACACACACACACACACACACACAATTTAATAAAAAAAATCTGATAATCTTTAAAAACAGGTTGTTACTTAGGTTAAGATAAACAAGAACATAAAACAGGTCATAAAGAACTGGAAGGTTTCATTCAGCTTCCAAAAGTTCCCAGCTCTCAGGGAAATCTGGCTCGCTAGTTGGGATCTACCTGAGCTACCAGCAACTTAAGACCATTAGATATGCTGACCAGTCCACTGCACCTGGTAAGACAAATTTTAACATAATGAAAAAGTTTGGCTTATTTTTAATACCAAAAGGTACATGTCATAACATGGAACCAGATTATAAAGAACTGAAAACCAGAATGGTTGGTTTAATGAGATTTTTCAAAGATTTTAATATACTATGTCTTACTGAATTTGAGAACTTTAAAGCTGTAAAACCTTAAATGTGTAACCATTTATTTAAAATAAAAATTAAGAGAGTTGTATAGCATTCAAATGAAGAAAAATTCACTGAAATATTATTTGTGGCTGATAACCTACATCTAGCATCCACTTATAAATAACCCAAATGGCAAAAAAATAGAAACCTATGAATCCCTTTGTTTCCATGCTAGATGTGTGTAATTAGTAAAACAGACCCTTATAAAAGGCAAACAATGACCACAGGAGCTGCACGCTGAATACAGCAACATGAAAAACATTTCTGCTCATTTTGAAAGCACACGACACCCCCTTGATAAAATTCAAAATGGAAGCTTTTCTTGATATAAAATGCTTAGTTTTAAAAAGGCAATTTACGCTGCACCCTACAATTTAAGCCCTTTAAATATCACAAAGTTACCTACTTAGGCTTTAAACAGAAAGCTATACTTAAATTGTCTAAAGTAAAATATTTTTATGTTTTGTTATACTGGTAATTTCTGATAATTGGGGTATTATTCTGGCTTTTATCTGACTGCAAAGTTTCGATTTATTATGGTAAATATCACACATTTAGGTTTCTTTTAAGTGAATTTTAAATAAATCTACTTAAATACTATTATAATTGTCACCTACAACTTAATTTCCTAAAAAACCAAAAAAGTCCATAAGCTAAATAACTTTAAATCACATAATACCAAAAAAGTAGAGCCTCATTTAAAAAAAATAAAAAGAAAAAAATCACCAAGGTCTTTGCAGCATTTTGTTAAATGCTGGTTAATTACCTGTATTGATTAGATCAGGCAGTAGACAATGTATTTTCACAGTATATTCAAACTTCCCATACAACTCAGAAATCTGTGCAGTGAGCATCTACAATTCCTACTGAGAAAAGCCAGCCAGTTCTGGTCACCTTTCACTCTGAAAACACAGTCCTCAGGCGGCCGCAATTGTGCAGGGCTCTCTTAAGGCAATGTTCTCAAGATAAGGGGAACACAAAATCCCTTAGCAATTCTTACACGTGGGAGCAAAAATTCCAAATTTTAATTAACTTTTGAGCTTTAGTAACTTGTAGGTCCAATAGTTTTTGAGAAATAAGACATTAAAAAGAAAAATTCCTGCCCTTTTCAGTTGAGATACCATAACAATTGAAGTGTCATGGTCTTCTGCAGATGGCAATTAAACCTTCTCAGTCAAGAAGCAGCAAAGACAAAAACCCATTGGAGCCTATATCCATCAAAATCTTAATTCTCCTAAGCTCTAATGTAATGATAAACCTGTTTGGGGGCCAAAGGGGAAGCAATAAGTTTAGGAGTAAGGCGTCAAATATAAATTAAGGACAGTAGGACATGGGGAAACAAACAGATTCTTAGCCAAAAACCCCCACAAAAACAAAACCAAACCCACAAACAAACCACCAAATTTGAGTTTATTTTCCTTTATAGGAGAATAAAAAATGAGCCAATTAAAATATTAAACTGTTAAATCACACTCTAATTTTTGAAAATAAATTTTATTATTAAGGTCTAGTACCGGAATAAAATTTAGATCCTGTGTTTTACTAGAAAAATTGTATTTGTATCTTTTTAAAAACTCAAAAACTCATTTAATCAGATGCTTTCATAATGATTTAACTTTGGTACATAAAAAAAAAAGTTATTGAAAAGTTCCTTATTCATACACTCCAGAATATTTAGGATTAAAGTCAGTGATGCTTTAATGACATCAAACCAAAAGAATATATCCCAGTCAAGAGCATCGTATAACTTTGAACTATAAACCAGAAAACCATACTCTTCAGCAGCAAAAAAGGTGTTATGCATCACTTAAAATTTTTTGTTTTTCTTCAATCATAACAATTCTCCATTTCCCCCTCCAAATATTTATGAATCATAATTTTATAGTCTTTCTTCATATTTTACATTATTGCTTACATTGTCTAAATAATTACAGTAACTGTCTTTCATAAACTTTGCAATGTTTAAAAATATTTTTGAACTAGGACAATGTATCACTGTCATAGGGGATTTTTGTAAACAATTCCAATAGGGTTGAGAATGTAGCATTAAGAGAGATTTATTTTTTAATTTTTGTTAAAAGAGCATGATAAAAACATCACCAGTAATACATATATCTATATATAAAATATAGATTATCTCCAATATAGTTCCTTTACATAGTAGCACATCAGATACACAGGAGGAAGTATGGTGGATAGGGCAAGAGAAAAAGTTATTTTGGCAATGAATTAATTAGCCAAGAATTAAGATTCAAAGACCAGGTAAACATCAAAGTTAGTCAGAAAAGTATTATTAAAAATAGAGTTTCTTTAAAGCTGGGGTTTACATACTTTATATTGCATGTTTCCATGCCTGGTCATTCATGCACAGTAGATTACTGTCAATCATGGTCTTTTTCACAGAAGAAAGATTATTTGGAGGAGTAAGTGGTGATACAAAGGTACTGAGAATGCCTATCCCACTACCAATTTTTTCACCATAAAAAAATGTTAACAGAAATGACAGGGTTTAAAAAAAAAAATAGAGTATACTGTTATTTCACAAGTGTTTACCCCAATAATTTATAAGAAAGCTATAACATAAATACTTCCTAAACCAACAAACTTTAAAAACAGTGTACAATGTCCTTGAGTGTAGGAGTAAACATCAGGCCCTATGTCAAATTCTGTTTAGTGATTTGATTGTGGTCGATTCTTACAACTTAGGAAGGTCAGTAATCACCTGTTATTTATCTAATGCTATGATGAGCCTTTTTATAGTGGGAGTAGAAACTGGCATGTATTTTCAGTCTACTGGTTCTCCTTATGTCTCCTAGTTTCCATTATGTTTCAACATTACTGTATATTTAAAGAAGTACTCTCTCAATCATAAAGAGAAGTAAAAAGAAAAATTCTTCCCCAAACTTTTTGTTTAAAAAGTTAAATTTAAATGAACAAGACTAAGCACAGGCACTTTTCAAAAATGAAAACTGAAGCCAAATCACACAATCACTCAATAGTTATAGAAGACAGTTCTGGTTTTGGGGGTTCATCTCTGGTTGCCTCAGCACACGCATTGCTCTTTGGCTGTTCTGGTATTTCATCCTCCTTTTCTGACAGCCCACCAAGAGCCCCCAAGGGAAAAGTGCTTTCGCAATTCTGAGTGGAGGAGACCTGTGAAATGACTGGCATTGGAACAGAGGAGTTGTTCTCAAAGCTGTGTTCTCCAAGATCATACTGAACAAGGGTCTCTTCTGGCTCCTGGTTTAAGTAGTCTGGTACTAGGAAATCACTAGATAAGAGACAAAGAATGAAATGTAATTAATTTTCCCAAACATCAACACATAAGACGGTAAAAAAGTATGATCTGTTAAACAAGACTAGGATTTTCTCTTTTTCTAATCCTTGAATGAAGATTTTTTAAAAATAATGGTTGTAAGGGAGGAACTTTCAACTTAAAAACTTTCCTAACTATGAACTAAAGTATATCAAGCCAAAGTATATCAACATTCTCTACTATCAACTTGTAAGATATCACTTTCAGAGTCATTTTGCCCATCTAAATAACTTTTCCTATTGTATGTAGAGGAGTTTCTACATATATAGAACAAATGCAATCAAGCATGTTCACTCAAGTAAGGGTAATCTGCCTAATTTATGCCGAGTTTTTCTTGAATTGCTTATTGGATCAACTTATTTTTTTATCATTCCTGGATATAAATTAACTAAGAAGGTAAGCCATTGGGTATAAATAAAATGAAAAGGACACATGTGTGTATGCTGCTGTATAAAAATAATAAATTACCTTTAAGTCAGAATTTGAAGTACTTTTGAAATAAATTTTAGTAAGCTTAGATACTTCATCTAAATCTTTTGAGCAAATAAAGTTCATTCTGTTAGCAACTTAAAAAACAAACATAATTAAGATTATAATTTGATTGTTTAGTATTTAAAAATAAAAATTTTTCATTTAAAGTATCCTGCTGTACTTTCTAGAAAGTCTTCAGATATTAGATGCAAGGAATACAAGATACAGGACAAGTCTAGAGAGTTAAAACAGTCAAGTGGGTTATTATTTTAGTTTCAAATAAATGATGTTTAGTATGATAGGTAGCTTCAGTCAGTGACAGGAAAACCAGATGTTCACAATTAGAAATAATAACATTAAGAAAAAAACAATGTCTAGTATAAAATAAAAAGCAAAATATATGAAGGGATAGTTTGGAAGTTTTTGGGTGGTTTTGTGGGAAAAGATCCCATAAAAATTCCCCTGTAGAAAATAACTTCTGTCCCATAGGGTTGCTAAGAGTAAAAAATTGCACCCAATAACAAGGATTTCCACAAATGTAAAATTTTTGTAAGTATTTTTAAAAAAGGAATTTTAGGAGACTTTATAAATATTAACATAAAAACATACAACAATTCTAAACTGAGAGGGGAGAAAAGGAAATCTATAACAACTGCATCCATTACTGTTACTATCAAAGTTTCATTTTCATATCCTTATTGGTAAATATCTTCTCCTTTACATAAATTTAGAAAAAATGGGAAGTGGTCAATAATATTTTAACATCCAAAGAGTCTGAAATAATTCCATGTCACTATTATGTGACACAGTAACGTTTCCAGTAAAGTCTATTTAAGATCCATTATAAAATTATTTTAGCTTTTTATTTTTAAAAAAAATTTAGTGGTTTTAAGTGACTAGTTCTGCTGGTAAAGAGTTTTAATACCAACCGAAAAAAATTATTCTTTTTAGAATAAAAATATACTTGAAATACTTAACAAAATTTTGTCAGATCAGAAGGAGATCAGAGTGTGGACAGTGGGAATTTCAAATGAATGTGATTAACTAGGCGGCAACCTGATGGAAAACACAACAGGCTGCCCTTACTGAAAAGCAGGGAAAGAGAGTTTAGAAAGCAGTTTTCCTGGTCGGATTTTTGTTGTGCACCTCACCTGCTCTGGAAGTAGTTTGCTAGCTCTGATGCTTCATGGTTCAGACTCCTCAGGTGCACGATTAAATTTCCAGAGTTGGTGAACATGGCGCCACATGTTTTGCACTCGTAAATCCGAGGCTTGCGGATAATGTGCCGGGAAACCCTCATGTGGTGTTTATATTCCCCGAAGGAAGTGAAAGTGGCACTACATATCTGGCACCGGAAACAGCGTTTACCTTCATGCTTTAGGCGATGCATCTTTAGCGAGTAAGCCCTGGTGAACTTTTTTCCACAGCGGTCACACTGAAATGGTTTAATTCCTAAAAAAAAGAAAGAAACCAAAATATTACATAAAAACAAAGAAGGTTATAAACCTAACCATTTTCTGAATATTTCTAAATTTCAGAATAAATTTTCCAACAAAATTTGTGTCAAAAAATAATCTGAAAATACAGAAATTACCAGTAAATAAAAAGTTTAAGTCAGTGTCTCAGAATGGATGCCAGAACACTCCAAAAATCATTAATGCATTTTAAGGGAAAGGAAAAAAAAGACAGACATGAGGGGTGGATGCAAAGAAAGAAATGTACAATAGAGCTTATTTTTTAATATTTTTCTAAATCATCTTTTGGAAAATTTTAACCAAAATACATTTTAACCAAGTATCTATTCTTTATCTTAGAGAGATATATGTGGGGGGAAAAAGGATAATGTTAACATCCTTGAACATAATTATCCTGACAGACCCACCATCTGATGAATTAACTGGGTTTTTGAGTACTTTAACAATAAGGAGCTCTGGTGGCTTAGTGGTAAGGAATTGTGCTGCCAATCCAAAGGTACACAGTTTGAATCCACCATCTCCTCCACAGAAGAAAGATGGGCAACCTCCTCCCGTGGGATTTATTGCTTCTGAAAACACACTAGGAGGTCAGATATGAGTTGGTTCTAACTCGAGGGCACTCAACAACAATTTAACAATGATAAGAAAAAAAAGTAGGAATTAGTAAGAGAATTAGAAAGTGCTATTAGTGGTCTCCTCTAATTTATTACCACAGTTTTAGCAAAATAAGACTAAAGACCCATACTAAAAAAAAATCCATCCATTTAACTTTAACAGAGTCATCAGTGCACAAAAAAATGTAAGATTTGTAGAATTACCTACTATTATTAACTATTAAATTGTTTTATTTGGAAAGAATTTTTAAAAAATACAGAAAAACTATGCACACCCATGCTTATCTCGGCTTTGCTCACAATAGTGAAGAGTTGGAAACAACCTAAGTGCCCATTAACAAATGAATAGATAGAGAAGCTGTGGTATATTCACACAATGGAATGCTATGCTGCACTGAAAAACAGGAACTCATGAAATATTATACAAAATGGGTGACCATGGAGGACATTATGCTGAGTGAAATATCTCAGTCACAAAGGTCAAATACTGCATGGTACCACTCTTACAAAATGGGACTGACATCGGGGTTAAAGGAAGCCTGAGAAAGACAGGATAGATTATGCATACTGCATTGAAACAGATGAGGGAGAGAACTATTTTAAAAGGACATATGATTAGGTATTATTGTCATGACGAGTCCAAAACGAAGGCTGCATAGTGGAGTGGACTTGAGGGGAGGGGTTATATAACGATAAAAGAATTTTTCTTTTACTTTTTAAAACAAAGGCTGCATAGTGGAGTAGACTTGGGGGGAGGGATTGTATAACAGTGAAACACTTTTACTTTTCAAAGAGAAGAATGAATTGGAGGGGGGAGGTTGGGGGGAGGGATTGTATAACAGTGAAACACTTTTACTTTTCAAAGAGAAGAATGAATTGGAGGGGGGAGGTTGGGCAGGGGAAAACTGCAACAATGAATGAATGAATGGAAATCCAAAGTGTCTGTAAAGTTTCATTAAAATTAATTAATTAAAAAACCCAAACACCACATCCCTCTCTAACATTTACTGTGGGCTGGTTTTCTGCTTAAGAGCCAGCCTGGTAGTTTCTCTTCAATAAAATTTCTTGGCCTAAAAACACCACCACCACCACCAGAAATGAAAACAAACCAAAAAACCCTCCAAATCCCCAAATCAAAACAGAAAAACTACAAAAATAGTAAAAAGAATAGTCATATATATGCTATATACTCTTATAACCCATATGCTTTGCCATCTACACTCATGCTTTCCTCACATAGATGTCCACACTCCAAATATGTCTATTATTTATTTACGTACTACACAAACACATCCCTATTAAATTTTAATCAGAAATTAATACATCAAATGCATCAAGCAAATAGCTTTCTGACACTGTACCATTTTAGTTACCACCACAGCAAACTTCCACTGGGTTTCTGAGGCTGTAAATCTTTACAGGTGTGCCCACCTTTCTACCACAGAGTAACCAGTGAATCTGAACTGCTGGCCATTAGATCAGCAGTGCATCTGGTTTCACAGAGATTATTATTTTTTTTTAAATATCAAAAGCAATCTATATTCCTTTTTAACTTAACTGGTTTCCAAAATAAAAGCTCAAAAAGTTCATTTATACAACTGATAAGGGAGGCTGACATTACCTGAGTGGATGAGCATGTGCTGTTTTAGGTTCTGAATGCGGGTGAACCGTACCCCACAGGTTGGACACTGAAAAGGTCTGTCTGGACCATTTGGACTTGGGCGCTCTGTACTGCTGGTAGAAGGAGCAATGTAGAGTTGGTAGGGATACTGGACATTTTCCAATCTAAAATATAAAAAAAAAAATTGAAAAAAGAAGGCAATTAGGCTCAGATTTTAAAGTTGAATAAACATTTTGGTAGGTTAATTTTAGATGAAGTAAAGGAAAATGGGTTTAAAGAATTTTTGAAACAGTTGATATAACTGTTGAATTTCACTTCAAATGTGAAAAACAATGCTATTGTCCAGAATATGCAGCATCTGAGGCTAAATACAGACAAAGGTCCCCAGGATACATCAAGTAATTCTACTTTAACCATAATCTTTCCATTTTCCTTCTTGCTTTAATTTATGTATTTATCAATTTAAGCCTGAAGTAAAAACTCCCTTTCTAACACCACATCCCACTAATATTCTTCTTATGGAATTATAGTATTCTCATTAAATCATGTTACTGCTTAAAAATCCTGCAAGAGTTCATCTGTATCTTGAACAAACATATAACACCACACCACACCACATAGGAGAGTTGTCTTGCCCTGGACTGCTTACCAATCCAGTCTCATTCTTGCTAACTCCTTAGGTTGTACTTCAGATAGTTGGTCCAATGTTCCATGCTCTCTGCCAGGGCTGTGCCTGTGCCCATTTGACTTTCTCTATGTGCCTACCTTCTACTTAAGTAACACCATCCTTGGCTTTTGGAATGTAGTGAAGTGCAGGAAGTAGCTTAGGTCAGTATTTTCCTGTGTGGATGAACAGAGCCCTCTGTTTCACTATTACTTGTCATTTTCAAGCTCTTTTCCTTCCGAAAACAGACTCCAAGAGAGCAGTGGCTATTCATTGCATCTCAATATTTTCACCAGTGAACAACATTATCTAGTACAATGAGATTCATCTTTGAAATTAAGAAACTCAAGTCCATTTATGTTTTACCAGGGTCAGTGACCCAAGAATAACATTTGAGTCCCTTCAGCCAGTCAGTTTTCAAAAAACATTTCTACATTATGTCTTGGATTCTCTATGAGGTGTTGTTCAATCATTTACTGGAATTTACACTCAATGGTGGGAGGCAGATAATAATTACTGTGTTGCTATTGTGTACCATCAATTCAGAACTGACCAGAGCTGACCCTCTGGCCAGTTTTCAAAGCCAGTTAATTGAAGGGAGGAGATTGCCCATCCTTCTTTCATGGAACTACTGCTGGAGTCAAACTGTGTGCCTTCAGGATTGCAGCACAACTTCTTAACACTAGGCCACCAGAGCTCCCTCAGATAATGATTGTTGCTGATTGCTTTGAGTTGAACACAACTCACAGAGACTCTTTGAACAAAAGGCCTGAAGCCCCTCTACAAAAATCATTTATCAAAGTTCAGAGTTACTGTAGGCATGTTGTTTACAAAGTGGATGCCACTCCTGCTTCCAAACCTGTCAGTATGCTATTGACTGAGTCGCCTGCGTTGCATAGCAACCCCAGGTATGGAAGCTCTGAACCCTTCCCTGTCCTGAACTAGTCTCACTAATTCTGACACATCAACCCGCATTGCCCCAGTCACTGTATCTCATCTGGGGTCTTAGGACAGAGAATTAAAACAAGGTGATGTAATAGATCAGGGAAAGCTTCTCTTTGAAAATGACAAGACAATGATCTGAAAATCAGGAAGGAGCCAACAGAGTAGGGGGGTACGGTGGGGGGAAGACATTTTAAAATAAAGACCACAAGCAGCTGAAATGCAAAAAACAAGAATATTCTACAACTGAAAAAAGGTCAAGTATTACTAGAATGTGCTGTGCAAGAGAGAGAAGGGTCTGAAGAGAGTCAAACAGAAATCTTGTCATATAAGGAATTTCAGTATGAAGGGAATTCTATTGAGGAAATTTAAGTATCTACTGCTTAAAACATGCTTTGCATACTGCTGTTCTTAATAGCTTAGATGAGTGTATGTTTGCCTGCCTATCACTTGCTCTTTTGGTACAATGCTTGTCTGTCAAATGCTGTACTAAAGTGAAGTTTCAAGAATAAGACTAGGAAGAAAAATTGGCCATCCACTTCTGAAATAACAGATCTTGGAAAATTTTACTAATAATGGAGTTGTTGTGATGTGCCCTCAAGTTGTCTGGGACCCACTGTGACCCTATATACAGCAGCTCTGCACCCTTCCCTAACCTGAACCAGTCTCACTAAATCCAACACACCAACCACCATTGTCCCAGTTACTGTATCAATCTATGTATCTGGGGTTTTCCTCTCCTGCACTGTCCCTCCACCCTTCATAGCATGTCCTTCTCTAAATACTGCTCTCTCCTGGCTACATGCCCAAGTATGTGAGATGCAGCTTTAACAACCTAGCCTCCAAGGAGAAACTTGGTTTCACTCTCTCAAAGACAGACCTATGTGTTTTCTTGGCAGTCCATGTTATGTTCAAGACTCTTCTTCAGCACCACAACTCAAAGTAGATAAATAGATATAGCACTGGAGGCTGAACTCTCACATTGAAGACACAAAAAAGGAGGAGTTGCAAACACCCACTAATAACTGGAACTCTGGATGAGATGGACTGACATAGTGACTGTGGCAATGGGGTCAGATGTGTGAAGACCGGCTCAAAATAGGGCCAAGATCAGAGCTGTGAGTCATGGATACATAACAAAAACACAACTAAAATACTAACATACTGTAACTTTATCAGAAACATCATTTTGACTGCTGTGTGGAGAATGGATTGACATAAGGGGGAATGAGATCAGAGACCAGTTTGAAGGTACTTGCAATAATGAAGACAAAAAATGGTAGTGATCTGAACTAGATAGTTATAGCACAAACAGAGGACAAGTGCATAGATTAAGGACATATTTAGGAGGCAGAGTTGATAGTACTTGCTGTTAAGAGTAAATACTGGAAGAGAAAATGGGAACTGTTGAGGGGAAGAAGGACTGAGAATAATTCCCAGAGATTCTGCCTGGGAAAGAAGGTGGATGATGTTGCTTTTTAGGGAAAAGATCAGAGAGGCAGGACTTGGGGGTGAATTAAATAGCGAAGAAGGAAAGAAGGGTCAGTCTCGGAGGAAAGGAACTCTATTCCCAGTTGAACATACAGATAAGGGTTCAGCAAAGATTATCTGTAGCAATAATGTTGTGTGCAACTGAATCAAAACTGACTCACAGCTGACCCTCCGGCGTGTTTTCTCAGGCTGTAAACTGCATAGGAGGAGATTGCCATGTTTCTTTGGATCAGCTGATGGATTCAAACTGAGTACTGCGGGTTGAACGCACAAATCCTCACCACTAGGCCACCAGATTTCCCTGTAGCCGTAGTATTTTTGAGAACACACATTCTGTTTCAACTATTGCTCTTTTGCACTCAAAAGCACCCACAGATAATCTACAAATGAGCATACAATGTTAAAAATAAAACAACAAACCTAGTTACAAATGGGAGGGAAAAAATACCCCTCTCCCAAAAAAGCCTATTTCCAAATGCAGGTGTTGAGCAGGGATGGGCCTGTGGTTTATAATTTGCTGACTCCTGGTAAAAATTGGAAACTCAAACTCCTTGCCACTGATCTGGAACTGGCTCATACCTGACTCTTTATAGGGCTTCCAAGGTTATAAATCACATCAGAGGAGGCTGTCCATCTTTCTCTCATAGCAGTTGGTGAATGTGAACTGCCCGAGAAGCACCACCTTTGGGTTAATAGTGCAAAAGACTACTATCTAAAGTAATGGTAGTTTTGTGTTAAAAAAGTATAGGAAGTGTAGTTTAGAATATGATGATGCTAATTACTGAAAAGAATACTTTAGGGAGTTTCCAAAATAAATAGAATGTGTGACTTTAGAGCTGTAAGCACAAACCTTACAAGAAAATGGTATGCTATGTTAGTACTGACCGGTCATCATCATCTGCATGGGTATTAGTGTTAGAACTGCTCTGAAGTGTAGGTAACCCCTCAGTGACACCTTCATCTACTGAGCCTGTAAACAAAAGAAAGAGGGCATCTGTCAATACTTTGACATAACAAAAGCCAAGGTATTAATTTCAAGATGCATCTCTAAGTTGCTAATACATATTATCTACCAAATGTATATATCCTGAGTTCTTAATCAAAGTAATGTTACAGAATATTTTAGTCTTTTAATTTGTGATGCAAGAGTTTTATACTATTACTTACTTTTTATGATATTTGACATAAATTAAAAAAAACACTAATTCTATTGCATAGTAGAAAAAATTACATAAAGCAGTAATAAAGAGTTTTAAGCAGCATAGTAACTCTTCTAACACGTGTGTTATTGTGAAATAACTCACCTCACTGTAGAGTTTAAAAATTATAAATCAAACACCTGCACAATCACCACACAAAAGAACAGTAGCAGAATCCTACTGGTTTCTTTTTAACCTTTTCTGATCATAAACGATTTCTAATTAGAAGAGGTAACCATTATCCTATCTTTTCTGATTATAATTTTCTTTCTTTTAAAACAATTATCTCATGTACACCAATGTTCACTGCTTTGTTTACAATATCAAAAAATTGGAAAACAATCCAAGTGTCCATCAACAAACGAATGGATAGAGAAGCTGTGTTATATTCATGCATTGGAATATTATGCAGCACTGAAAAAATAAGGAACTCATGATGGGTGACCCTGGAGGACATTATGCTGAGTGAAATACCTCAGTTACAAAACAACAAATACTGCATAATGCCACTGATACAGGACTGACATGGAGGATAGGGGAAACTTAAGAAAAGCGAGGATAAATAGTGTACTCTACATTGAAACAGATGAGGGAGAGAACTGTATAAAAGGAATATATGATTATGTCTTATTCACATGAGTCCAGAATAAGAGCTGCATAGTAAAGTGGATGGGGGGGGGGGTTGGATAACAAGGTAAGAATTTTTCTTTTCCCAAAGAGAAAAGTGAACTGGGTGGGAGGAGGGGGAAGGAGGAAAATGTGCAACAATGAATGCATGGGAACAGAAGTTCTCTATAAACTTTCATTAAAATCTCAATAAAGAAAAATAAATAACTATCTCCAATACTTATACTTCAAAATTTAGGAGATTGTTTTTTGCTGGAACAATGCTAAGCACTCTTTAGGCCTGCTTTTCACAGCAACAACAGAACTAAGTGTGCTAGCAATGGCTGTGAAACTTAAAATAATTACATTCAGGCATGTTGGGAAAGTTTGCTGACTCCTTGACAGAAACAACAGTTTGCCATTGTCTGGTTTTGCACTTGAGTCATACTGTATGTACCTTTGCTATTTAATATTGCTGAAGCATCCATATTGTTACAAATAGCTGGTGTCTGTGCATTTCATTACTGTTAACAATCACAATCAATTTTACTCTTGTTAAACATTAAGACTTTTTCAGTTTCAGGGTATTCTATACAAAACTGCTGGATATATTCTTGGATAAGAAACAATACTCACAAGCATGCTTATCCTTATAGTATATACTGAGAGGAGTGTAGGTCCTAAGAGGTTCAATTCTTTATTAGAAAATGTTAAATTTCCAAAGAGATTATACATTTATAGTATACTATTTCCTGCAGTATATAAGAGTTATGTGGTTTCACATTCTCAAAACATTTGGTATTGTCGAATTTAAAGGTTTTTTGTTGGCCTAGTAGTTGTTTCATTATGCTTTATATTCAACTTCCCTTACTACTGGAGTTGGCTGCTTTTATATAATTATTAATCCCTTGTGAAATGCATGCTTAATTATTATTTTTAAAGTAGTTATTACTTAAAAGTTGTAAGGTTTTTTTTGCTATTGTTTTTAATTTAAGAGTTCTCTCAATATCCATGTTAAAAATAAACTTTTCACTGACTTGCTTTTTTTATGCTCACTTTCAATAACTATAAATGATATTTTTGTTAGGTGCCACAATGACTTACAGTGACCCCATGTACAACAAATCTAAACCTCTCCCTATCTTGTATTGTAACATCTTCATGATGTTGCCAGGAGGGGCCAGAGGTGGATTCTCAACAAGACGGACTGACAGTGACCACAACAATGGTCTTGAGCACACTGAAGATCATGAAAATAAACTTTATTAGGAGATTACAAAAGTGATTAAGAATTGCTCATATTTAGAGCAAACTGGAAAGATGTGTACTGCATGAATGGTATAAAATTCAAAGCAATCACTGCTCTGAAGTTGGCACCATTCTCGTTTTGTGCAACAGAAACTATCTACTTCCTGATGGCACTGTAGTATAATGAAAACTGGATTTTCAACCACTAATGACATCTGGCACAATGGCTAGATCCAGGTGAAGCATGAAACTGCTCCAAATCAAGCTTATACCAAAATAAGGTTTTACTGACTGGTGGTGTGCAGCCACTTCAGAATCTGGGTGAAACCAATCCAGCAGAGAAGTACTGTAATGAAATGAACAGAAACCTGCAATATTTGCATCTAGCATTGGTCAACCAAAAAAGGTCCAATTTTTCTGGACTACATGCAAAGCTCGATCACACATGGCACAACCAATGGTCCAAAAGCCCAACATACTGGGCTTTGAAACTGTCTCATGCAGCACACTTGGCAAACCTTGACAACTGGCCACCACTTCTTCAAGAACCTTAACAAGTTTTTGCAGGTGAAACTATAAACGATGAAAATGCCTCCATAAACTTCATCAACTACAGAATGGCAGGATTCTATGGTACCAGCATTAATAAATCTGTATTTTGTTGGCAAAATATGATGCAGATGGTAACAGTTATTTTGATTCATAAAGTTTGAGCTGTTAAATAATTCTAAAATTGAAGTTTTAAAACCGGCATTATTTTTTGTAAGAATTTAATAAAAGTGTAAAATAAGAATTCAGTGGCGGTGCAGCTATGACTTGATTCCAAACTTGACAGAAATGAGTAAATAAAATGTCACTGAACTAAACTATCTTTTCACTATGGTATTACTTTTTTTAAAAAACAAACAACTTTGCGTATCTCAAATTATTTAATTAAGGATTTGTTTTGCCTTTTAACTTTAGACATTTTTGTTAATAAAACTGGAACTGATCTTGTGACTGAACAGACTGAACACATTCACTGAAAAGCCCATTTTTTCACCTGTCCTCTGCAATCCCATTTTTGACAAGTAAACATAAAAGCAAGCCCTCTCCATCATGTTAATTCTATTTAAGAACAGTCTTGTGCATTTCTGAATACATGCTGAATTTAAGTGATAATAATGTTAATGTACACCTTCAGTTAGTTGTCAGTTTAAAGACTAATGTGTGCCTGAGCTCGTTTCTTAAAAAAGTTGAACACAATTTCCAATCACAATCGAATGACACACAGTAGAACACTATGAAGTATGCAGGAGCAACAATTTTGAAAATTATTACATAATCTGGGAAGGACTGGAGAGCATTATGCTGAAGGAATTAACTCAGTTTCATAACAACAAATACTGCAGAATAGAAGAATAACTAATAAAACATGTCTGGGGACTGAAGAGGGGAAGAGGTGGGAGCAGGGGATAAGGATGGGAAAAAGGGAAAGCATAAGATCACATAATCTGGTGAGTGGAGGGAGGAGGAATAAAGGAAATGCCAAAGATCCTGAGGGTACCTGAGGGTAATGGTGGGCATAATTCAATGGAGATTAGGTTTATGAAACATAATACATGGGACCTAAGTATGAAATACAATGTAAGTGTAAAACACAATGTATACAAATTTTGAATGCAAACCAATAATATTTTTTTTAAAAGTGCCTGACCTAACCCATGGAATTTTCAATTGCTTCAAATGTTATGTGAAAGGTGAAATTATGAATAAAGACAACTGAAAACTTATTGATCAATGTCTTTGAACTGTTGTGTTGGAGTAGTGAAAATTTCATGGACTTCCAATAGAACAAACTTGTCATGTAGAAAGTACAGCAATGGTGCCCCTTGGAGGTTTTCATCTCTGATTCTTTGGGTATGTTGTCAGAAGCGGCCAGTCTTTGGAAAAGGACAAGTGAAGTAGTATCTTTCTGGAAAGTCCCCAGATATTCTTTCTTTTCCTTTTGGAATTTCCCTAACACTCAGGTAAGGTTTCTCACTGTAACTTCTAAAACTTTAAGCACCTAGTTTAGTATTCTTTTTCTCTCTAATCAACATCAGATTTTATCTTCGAATTTACCAGTTCATTTAAGTACAATCTGCTGGCAAAATGTTGAGTTTTTAAAACTCTGGTTTATTTATTATTTAACTTTGGTTTGTTTTTATTTCTAGAGTTTTCTCAAGTCTTCCATGTGAGATTTTAAAATTTTCTCTTCTCCATAACAATTGCTCCAACTCGTTTACTTCTTTAAACACAGCAGGCATATTTGTTATCTGTTCCTGAAAGCTATTATCAATTGGTTCTGCTGCTTTTTTCCCCTTGCTGGTTCTCATCTGGCTTTGTTGACTTGTGTGCTGTGACTGTGGTTATGTACCATCAAGTTGCCTGTGACTCATAGTGAACCTATGTACAATAGCTCTGAGCCCTGCTCTATCCTGAGCCAGTCTGTCTCCAATACATCTACCCTCACTGCCGTGTCAATCCATCTCATCTGGAGTCATCCTCTCCTGCATGATGCCCTTCTCCAAGATCAGTCCCTCTTGGTAGCATGCCAAAGTATGAGTCAGAGCTCCAAAATCCTTGCCTCCGAGGAGCACCTGGTTTCATTCTCTCCAGACAAAACTGTTTGTCCAAGACAGACTTCTTCTCTTGGTGGTCCAATACTCCTTTCCAGTACCACAACGCAAAGGCATTGATTTACTGTCATCCTTACTCACTGTTCAGCTTTCTGATGCATAGTAACTACCTGCAAAGATCATGGCCTGAATCATTGCTCTTTAGCACTTTGGAGAGGTCCCAGACAGTAGATGTCCCTAATGCAACTCATCTTTTGCTTTCCTGACTGCTGGTGTGAATAGTGTTGATGTTGGAGCTGAGCAAGCCGCAACTGTTA